TCTTGCTCATCAAAACTTCAAGTCACCATGTGCAAGCTTTTTCAAGCCCTGATCATAATACAGTAAGAAAGAGATGTACTAGATCAAGAAGATCTAGACCTTGACATTAGGGACATTAGATATTAAATGTAATACACTATGCCAAGTCCTGCATTTCTTGTACCAATAAAACTTTGCTTGCCCTAGTTGACATTAGTAGCAGCTTTGGATACAAAAGAAACGCATGATCAGGTGCCTAATCTTAAAGAGACAATCAACTTAAAATCTAGTAATTAAAAACAATAGTTGAAAAACAGATTCTATTTGGGGTATTATATCTGCCTCTAAATTCCCCAATCAATATTTTTGTTTCTTTTGTTTTACAGTTACATTGTATATTATTTTTGATTATTTTTTTCTCTATCACTTTCCAGTGTTGTGTGAAAGACCCACTAAAACAAGGGAAAGAGTGCAATTTACTATATACAAAATGAGGTCAAATGCACAAAGTAACTGGGGGCGGGGGGAGGGAGAATGCCTCAGATTTCTTCCAGTTTCAGTAAACTTAAGTGTTAAGAATAGTAGTTAAAACAAGTTTCAGATGGAAATGTGTGTTTTTAGCTAATGCCAGTCCTTTAAATGCAGATATAGAAAGCATCCTGTTTTAGGTCCCAAAATCCTTATGCAAAAATCAATCCCATTATGGCAATAATTTTGGACTGCAGGACCAGACCCTAATATAAGACATCCCCACTAACTGCTCTTCTAAACAAATCCACCTAGGCAAGGATCTGAAAATTCAGAAACAGAATATAAGGTTATGAAGCTTTCATGTGTAATAAACACTTATAAATTGCATCTATTTACATTTAAAACCAACAAAAACTGCTCTTTTTTGTGTGACCACATAAACAATCTTGTTAAGCACTTTCAAAGTTAAACCTTTTTCCCAAGGTAAACCATAGAATAATTAGAGCTGGAAGGGACCTACAGTGGGTCAGAGTTCACCCCTCCCCCTTGGTTAAAAAAAAGGTTATATACAAACATCCCAGCAGTTAAACTAACTTCAAGCATCAACCCTTTTACTGTGATCTTGGGGCTAAAACCTCACATATAATCCCGTTTAGTTTACAGAACTGTAGACCTTTTAAACTGCTGTACTTAAACTTATGCAGAATCACAAGAAGTTTCTATCATTGCACACTCATTAGGCCCAGCTCTGCCCTCTGATAAATACAAGCATCTCCCACTAAAGACCAGGATCGATTATAATGCAGCTAATGTGGAATTTAAAGTGCAGAGAACAACAATACTGAGCCAAAACCAGTATGGTACAACCCTGTTGGAGTCAATGGAGTTACACTATGCAGAATTTAGCCCATTATGTTTACTCTTATAAAAATAAATGATAGTCCCATTAATGCAATTTGAGTAAGGAGTGATTCAGAAACAAACAGGTTAACTATTCTATAACTTCCTTTTGGAAATAATGAATAGCTCAAACAAAAGATCAACATGAAGATGTTGAATACATGGACGGGCATATGCAAACCAAAGCTGAAAAGGACTTGAGTGTAAATGTTTACAAATGTACTCTACTTTAATTATAATATATAAATATAGAGAGACCTCTGGTATGTTTCCATCTGAAATAATGTGTTTGGCTCTGAGTACCTCATTACCAGAAAGATAATGACAAGCTGAAGGTAGTTCAGAGAAGATCAATCAAAATCAGAGTGCTGAAGGGAATAACTTAAAAAGAAGAGTTAAAGGCTCAATACTGCAGCTGTTCCATGCACAGAACTTCTATTGACTTAAAGAAGTATGGGCTCTAAAAAAGACCTAAATATGCACAGCTTAGTTAAGCAATGACAAAGGGAAAACATGATAATAGTCCACACATAATTGAGGGGTGTAAACACCACGGAGGGAGATAAATTATTTACAGTGCTACAAGTAAATAGAAGTGAATATAATAGGATGAAATCATTAAAGGGAATTTGGACTGAATATCAGGAAAGTCTTCCTGACAGCAAGATCTCTTAGGCTTTGAACAATTTCTCACGTGAAGGGGGTGGAAAATCCTATCATTTGGAATATTTAAAGCTAGGCTAGAAAAAACACTAAAAGTGTATTTGTAGGGAACAATCCTACATAAGCAATCCTGTATAGGTACTAAATTATGTAGTGGGTTTTTCCAATTTTCTGATACATAGTATCTAAAAAGTCTGTGGGGTAGCTGTATGTATGCCATGACCCTGTACATAAGTAGGTGCTGTAGTAGAAGACACACTAGTTCTAAAATAGTATACAGCAATATTTAGCCAGACAAATTTATAATCTGACTGCAAACCCTTTCTCACATGAGCAATCCTTCTGACTTCAATAGTCAAATGATTAAGAACTAATTGCATGAGTACAGCTTTGGAAGATGGGGCCCACTGAAAGTACAAATAGATACCAGACTCTATTTTAATAGCATGCAATCTCTTCTTTGTATAACATTTCAGATTTAAAAAGGGCTTTATGTTGTTGTGACTACCTATCCACCAGTGGCTACTGTCACCTTCAAATCAGCTAGCCAAGTAGCACAATGTGTTCTATAATAATGAAGTATATGAAATTCAAACTCAGCCCGAGTTAGGCATTGCTTCCCCCCATTATATTAAACCTTTGGGAGAGAGAAGAGACCAGTGTCACCATAAGCCCTGTATCTAATGAATATTTCACCAAGAAAAAACAAAGTGAGATGTATTAAAATACTTTCTTTGATGTAATGAGAGCAATTAATTATGAACCACTAATAAATTAGTGCATTAAGACATATATTTGAGGAAAAATTCAAAATTATTAATGAGGTTCACAGTTTAAACCAATTAGTTATACTATCTTTTATGGCATTGTGTACCAGCAGAAATCTGTAAATCCATACAAATATTTATGACATGTAGATTAGTACAGTATCTACAAACATTTACACTTGAAATTATTTCCTCCTGCAGACACCAGCATAACTCACTTACTGACTTATTAAATGTCCCCATCTTCTATGTGACACAAAAGACAAACTGGCTTCAACATTTCCTACGATTTTATTAGATTATCTTTTGACTTTCTATGAATATTTTCCATTGTGTAAGTAAATTACACGACTTGCTTTAAAGTGTGTATCAATAGCAAAGTCCTACACATAATATGATCACTTAACAACTTTCTGCAGTTACACAGTTCTAAGTATACCGTTTTCAAATATTTTATTTTATTAATCAATCTGCTATCCTTTAAACACTTGGGTTTTTTTAATATTAGAGGAGCAAAGAGAATAATATATACCAAGGTATTAGACAAAGAGAACTTTTTTTTCCTTTCTTTCATCTATAAAATACATTTATGTAATCACTAAGAGCAATTAATGACCTAAAGACAGTTCAGAGGGGGGAAAACGGCAAGGAAACTGATAGCAATCAGATTTGACAATGATTTCAGTAATTCAGTCTCATTAAAAGCAGCAGCAAAGGAGCTGCTTCATCCATGCCTGACAGTGCGAAGCAGAAAGTGTAAGAATTTAAAAACAAAGTATTCCTTTTACATTAAAAATAAAAGCTCTATTTCATTTCACAGTTATACCTAATTCCACATGCAAACAGTCACTATGGATAAGTAGGCCCTGGAGGCAGGGGTGGACAGATCACAATACGGTCAAAAATCTACCCAAACACCACCACAAAGAAAAGCAACATGCCAGCAGGCATTGTTTCTTAGGTTTCAGTTATCTCCTATCAGCTTCATCCTAAGTATATATTCCTTAAATGTGAATGATGAAAATGAGCCCAAACGTACAATAATATGTGGAATAAAACTAGACCATCAAGATAGAATATCATGTAACAAAACCTCCCCCAAATCATAGTAAACGTCATAGGAAATGGACAACTACGTGAAAAGTTAAGATGCCTTTAGCTTTCCTGACATGGCCATTACCCAGCCTGAAACAAACAAACAGTCTCTTTAAACTTTGCAGATATTGTTTTCTTTTTCTGTGATCAACTCAACATTTTTGAGAAGGCTGATGAAATTCAAAATGTCATTCTTGCAATTTGGGACTAATACAAGCATGTGGGAGATCTAGGCACACTGGTTTCTCACAAATCACGTCAATAACCTTGGGGAAAGTTTTCTAAACTTCCTGATTAACATTTCTTGCAGCTGAAACTTTTTCAAATGAAGACATTTGCCTTAGAGTTTCCATGTACAAAATAAGGCTCTAGATATTAGTTAGGTATGTTAAAAATATAAACAATGGACACATGTCTTTATGTTCAGTGTCTTTAAAGAGACAGTGTCCTTAGTCTTATTTACTACTGGATATGTTTTCCAAAAGAGATTTTTAAAATACACACACACACACACACACACACACAGTTTGAGTTTGATGAGTCATGTATTATCACAGGGATGTTTTCATGTCTGTATTTTGCAAAATAAACCTATTATTACATTTACTTTTCATCAACTAATCTGGGATTAACTACTTTTAAAAAATGTATATCTTTACAAGAAGAGTGCTAAAAGAAAAATATGTTCACAACAGACCTAATTGGTGAATATATTTATTTATCCTTTTCTGTTTATTTTTTTTAATCACCTTTGCAGGGAAGGACCTATCTGCTCCTGAGCAGACGACATAGCTGAAAAGTTTAAACCTTATTAAAAACAGGATGTGAGATTATTTTTAAAAAAGAATTCAAAAAGAAAAGTTTGTACCCCAGCCTTGCATCGTTAAGAGATAAAATATTATTTTGCACAACCCACCAACTATGGATGTTGATCTTATTTGAGTTTTAATGGGGTGATGTAGATAGAACCCCTTCTTAGAGCAATTTTTATTACATATATACAGATGCATTTAAATATCTAGAACGATAGATTGTTTCCCTTCCAGTGTAATTCGATCACCGTTTAACTCAACCTAATGGGGGGGGGGGAGGGTGGAAAAGATGGGAGACAAAAGTTGGTCTTACTTGGTGTACAAAAACATCAACTGGAGACTCCAAAGGGTTTCCTTCCCGGTTGATCATGGAGATGAACCCGAATCCCATTCGCACATTGAACCACTTGCAATGGCCTGTTCCGTGCAAAACCTGGGATTCCTCCTCTTCCTGCTCCGGCAACTTCCCGGGCTCGTCTCCACCTTTACTCGCCCCTGCTGAGGAGGGGGGGAAAAACACAGACACAAGATGCAAAGCTAAGAGTTAAATTCTGGTAAACGTCCTTTGCCTTATACAAAGGGATTGCTACAGAGGGGAGAGAAACACACGCACCCCACCCGCACATTACAAAATCAACCCGTTTTCTTTCCCTGCAGAGCAAACCATTAAAAAAAAAAAAAGCACACAACCCAAAAAGCAGCCAGGGTAACAGAGAGGAAACCCAGCATATGCTCGCCCGCTCGCTCTCTTTCGCCCAGAACAGCCCACGTTTCTGTATATACGTGTATTTTTCCATTTCACGCCAACTTTCAGCCATACTACACCACAGAACGCGATACTTTACTTGAATATTGCTGGTTTAGGACCGATCCCATTTTCCAACAGAAATGCTCAGCTAAATTATTCTCTTCTTGCAAAACGCGGGTGGGGGTGAAGAGGGAATGAGCAAAACCGGGGCAGATTGCACAACAACGTGTTATTGCACATGCAGCGGCGGATCCAGTACTATTTTCCAACGTGTATCCACCCCCCACCCCTTGGAATAACTTTCAGTTAAAGTTGGGGGGACAGGTGTACAAACGTTTACTCATCCCACCACTGAAACTGTGCTTAATCGTACAGGAACAATTCAAACAATAGCTCGCTGAACGCTTTTCAAGTTGTGTGAATCGGTGTGGGCGGTACGGAACATTTTTGGAAATCCGTAACAATAGGTTTGTAGAAAGCCCCCTTGCGCGATCTGATAAAAAAAAAGAAGAAGAATGGTGCCTAGTGGGGTTAAAAAAGAGGAGGAAGGGGAGGGGAAGAGAGAGAGAGAAAATCATAGAAAAACAATAGAATAAGAAAATTAACCTTCGGCCATGTTGCCCCACGGGCCCTCTGCTCCAAACTCGTGAGATGAAAACTTTCCCTTTGGATCGAAGTGGTCTTCTGCATCAATCTAGCATCCTGATTTTGAACGATCACAAATTTAGCTCGCATGGTCTAATGTGCTTTCCCTCTTTTGATTTTTCCCCTTCTCTCTCCCTCAGTTTCTGGCCCCCTACGCACACGTGACTTTGTCAATTACATGCTTTCTTGCGACTAATTTCACATCGGATCCTTAAGGGGTTGGCAAGAGTCTGAAGTAGCCAATCGCCATTTCAATTTAAGCTGACACACCAAAATAATTTATGAATGAACAAGAAAATTCAAATACGAACTTGTCTTACAGCTAATTTGCACACTTCACGGTAAATCAAGATGACGTATTTTGGGGGTTTCTGTGCGCGTGTGTATATACACATATGTGTAGAGATACACGTATAGCTACATAGTTACACCCCACCCCAGACATACAACTCAGATTATTATTATATATATGTACAGTCATAGGGAGGAGATATATTATGTGAATAGACACACAAATATGTATACAGGATCACATATGCTATGTTATGCATGCATAACCATATGCGCACTCTGTACAGATACACACCTTACTACGCATATTGCCGTGTGTACAAAAAATATGTACACATTTGCAAGTGTTGCTACTTCCTTAATAAAAGTGGCATTTAAACACCTTTGACTCATAACTGTATTTTTGCCTTTTAACCTCGTATTTATTTTCGTGTAGACACGTTAGCCAAAATTCGACTGCTTCATGGAATTTAACAGGCTGATCACCTTATTTTAACCTACTTAGGTTGACAGGAAAACTTTATATGTACTATACTCAGAAACATATGCACACTTGAGGTCAACATATACATGGAGAATCGCTGGTGTTCCTCCCTTTGTTTCACATGACTATTTCATATTCAAAAGAAACGCGTACCGGAAACGCGATATCACCTTAATATGGTTCAGAATGTGTTGAGGTTTAGCGTTTCAAAACATTTTTGGAGGGGGATGGGGCGAGGGATTGCACTTCACAGGTTTCTCCGCCATCTCTTTCCGCGGGAGGGGATGTGATTAATGACTTCCTAAATAAGAGCCCAGTTTTCAAGCCTAGCATTAGAGTGAACCTCAATCAGCAGCGATTGTTCTCCAGGAGCATGGTGGTGGAGGAGGAGGAGGAGGAAAGGCTGAAAGAGAAAAGGAGGATTTGCTAGGGAGGAGGAAGACGAAAAAAAACAGGAGGAAGAAGACAAAGAGAAGAGGAATAGTGCTGGGCTGGAGACTGCACTTTTAAATCTCCACTACTAGTGGATGGGAGAGTCAAACACATAAAAGAAAAAAATATCTAACGGGCTTGATAGCCTACAGCTTTCACGTGTTCATTCACAAATTCCCTAGGCATTGGACCTCTCTCAGGTATACAAATAGGAAAAAACACATGTTATTTCTACTACTGTACTTCGCGTCGCACCTATTTCAAATAATACATTTTAATATGTTAAGAAAAAAATACTAATCAAAAGTACCTATTTTCTTCCTTTTCTTCCCGGGGAAGAACATGGATAAATATATATGTTTGGGTAGGTATGAAAAATATAAAACCACATTGCCCATTTTTTCTTGTCAGTAAATATCCTATTCACAGGTAGGCACTACACAATCATAAACTGAGATTTGGTGACACTTCTGCCCCTGTAACATTTAAAAGGTAGGTTATACCTTGTTAAAATCCGAGGACACTGGGTTGAATTATTTTCTGATTAAAGTGGCATTACCCCTCCTATCCCATCCACACAAACATAAATACATAAAAAGCCAAAACAACAAACTGTGATCCACCCAGAGCTTGTACAATGTGTTTTATAAAATTTCAAAGCACTTGCTGTTTCAGCCTGCCCAATTAAGCAAAACCTCTTTGCTCTGATAGGCCTGTTTACTCTTTTTTGTTGCTTTTCAGGAAAGTGTGTAAATCGCTCTCCTTTGTCTTTAATTTCTGTTTGAAATAACAAGGTGCCCAGTTGAACATTTGGTAAAAAGAGAAGGGGGTGGGCAAAAGTGTAAAAATACAAGCAATCTGGCAAGTGGAGCAGAAGCTCTAAATCCTGAAATTCCTTTGCAGTCTTCAACCGTAAATTTCCTATAGGTTATTTCAACAGTGGAGGTCGACTTCCTACACTGACCTGCCTTTACACATTTGTGCAATAAACCATTCCTTTTTTCGTTTCCACTTCCTAATGAATGCAATTATATTACTAAGATAAATCAATATTCAACTCACTTTACGTGGAAGATAAAAAACTAAATATTTCCCATATATATGTGAACTACTATATATAATTTCAATTCTGATATAATCAATGGACAAATAAAAGCAGGGCAGCTGGAGAGAACAAATATGTAAAGTGAAACGAATGTAGTGTATATATGAAAATATCTATCAACTATCTGATATGTCTACCAAAACCAGGAGGTATCTATAGATACAATTTTTTAATTTTTTTTATAGCATCTGTTATAAGAGTCTGTATTTTTCTCAGATTGGTCTCCTCTATGGGCATTTGGCTGAAAAATGCTATGGAGACTAGACTCTTGGTTTTACTGATACTAGACACAAATAAATTGACCCAGGTTGTTGTTTTGTTTATGGAGAAACTGTCCTTTGTTTCCAGATAGTTTGATTAAAAAAAAAAGCAATACAGTATTATGCTTTTTTATCAGAGTAAAGGGAGGAGTGTGAAAACAGCAAAAGAAAGCTGAATGCAAGTATAAGAGATAGTTGCAAAGGATTTCCTACACTACAAAATAAATGCTGATTGTGTAAATTACGCGTATTAGGGAGGGGGAGATTTGCAAGTGGTCTTTACTGAGATTTTCAGGCCTCCAGTATTACTGGAATTAAGGTTGGGGTCACCGGACTGGTCACTGGTGTCAGATGTTATCGACTCATTCATTTCCTGCAAAGGACATCGGCCTTTCAAGTTTTGTGGAAGGTAGAGAGCTGTTGCCAGCTGGGAACTCTCAAAAACCTTCCAAAATTCATTCACAAACAATCGGCCACAAACACTTCTTTTTTTAAGCAGACCCAGGTCGGGGAAATTCGAGGATCATGGTCATATTTCACGCGTTAGAAAGATGCCGCTGTCTTTACCATCGTCTTGCTCTCCCCGCAGAAAACATGCTTTTTCGTTGAGATAATTACACGGAGAAAGAATCGTATTCATGAAGCTGCCCCAGGACTCCTTTGGCATCAAAACGGCCAGAGCTCTGGTGCCTGTTTTCTAATTTGTCATGTTTCTAAAACTTCTCTGGTTTTAATTTTTTTCTCATTTCCGATTTCTTTTAATACCCCCTTCCACTCCTCCCACCTCCGTGTATTTGAATCAAAACTCATGTTTAACACTATGAAAACTGAGCTCTTAAGATAACTTCGATTTTCCATGTTTTAAAAACACTTCGTAGTTTTGCTCAGGTCGCTAATCAAGAAAAGCAGGAGAGCGCGCCTCTGCCACTGCCCTGTGATAACCACATCGAAAAGGGGGTGGGGGAGCTTCCTTTTTGAACTATTATCACTCAGAGCTGGAAGCCCCATCTTCCCCTCCCCAGAGGCAGCGATGGCCCATTTCACTCAAACGTGCCGCTGTGGGTGTGGGGGAGAGGGAGCCCACGCGCGCCGCGCTTGGTGTCCTTTATTTCGTGCAGATTAGAAGTGCCTGGTGCTTGGTGCGATGGTCTCTATTAAAACCAGAGCCGCCGCTGCTGCGGTTCTTCCGAAAACGAGGGGGAGGGGCAGCGCCACTGCGGCTGGTCAGGTCAAGTCACCCACCCTTCTCTCCTCCCCCACGTGGAGCCAGGTTCCAGGACCTGGCGGAGGGGCGCTCCTGGCTAGGAACTCACCCGCTTGGCAGGGACCAGACGCGCCGGCGCCCTCCAAGCCTGGCCCCACGTGAGAGCCTGTGGCCTCCCGCCTTTCGGGCACCTCCTGCTTCTAGCCAACCCGGGTCTGCTTCCACCAAGTCAGCCAACTTTCTGCCCCTCCCCACGTGAGGGGGATCCGCAAGGTCCCGCCCGAGCCGCGCGGCGTGGCCGGCTAAGCGGAGCGGACCTGTCATTGCGTGCTTCAAGGTGGCATTCTCATTAGCGCTGTGGGGCCCAATCCAGCCCCTTGGGCTTCAGGGAGATCCCGTCCTCTCCAGGTTATTACCGGCAGGGATGCCCCCGGAAAGTTGCATTTTAAAGGAAAAAGCTCTCCTGGGATAGCGAATTCCCCACTCCCAGAAGCTGCTCCCTGCTGGGAAGATCGGGTCTGTCCCATTAGATCTAGGTAGCGCTGCCAACCTTAGATGTTCCTTTAGTTTTGGAGATTCCTCCTGAGCCCTCACGTTAGGAACCCAGAGTCTGTGTGTCAGGGAAATGACACCCTCTCCCCCCCTCCACACAGTGTTTGTCTTCACAATCAGATTGCTCGGTCGGGGCTGTGGTATAGGGTGTCGTGTCATGTCGAACTGTTTCATCAGAGGAGTTGCAAGGGGGTAAGATCACGGCGTGGGAAGGCAAGAGAGAAAAATCAGCTGATGCAAAGGCTCTTCCAGCCTATGGTCTCACCTGCAGCGCAGGCGCCAAAATTGGCCTGAGGATCCTTCTCTGCTGCAGCCTGGTCAGGGTCTCTGCTGCAGCCTGGTCAGGGTCTCCGCTGCACCCCAGCGTTCACTATAAGCGGGGCCAGCGCAGTGATCTCCATTCTCACACGCACTTTTTTTTTTATTTTAGCCTCAGTGTTAGTTTTTCCAGGGGAGTTTTCTAGGATCATTAATGCATTCCATGCATTAATTTGAAATGCAAGACCGTTTGGTATGGCTGCTTTTCATATTCAAATCTTCATTATGTGAAGATCCCAATTATTACCTATATAATCCCACCACGGCGACCACTTTCCATTATTGACCTGCAATACACCGAATACTTCAAGCCGGCTGGCTGTCTTCGTTGCAAAGACTGCCTGTCCCGTTGGATCTAGATAGCTCTGCCAATTTTACTTGTTCCTTCAGCTTTGAAGATTCCTCCTTAGCCTCCCTAATGTCAGGAACCCTGGGCTGTGTGCAGAAAAACAGCGAGAGGAAAAGTAACAATGCCCTAAATCAGCTAAAGCGGTTCCAATGAATAAAACACTTTTTTAAAAAAGGGGAATGTATCTTTCTTTCCCCATTTCACTGTTGTTTACGGTGATTTCCTTACCCCTTTCGAAGACTCCGATGTCCCGACTATAAAAGTTAACACCTGTAAATGATTGGTGTGTGGTGTGTGTGTGTTAGTGTTATAACATCATTTTTTCTCCCCCACCTTAAGTTTTTCTTATACTGTCGGGGGAAAGCTTATACTTCTTAACCGAAGATGCTTCTTAGACTTATTTTAAAATTTAAATTAAATAAACCTCGTTGCGATTGAATTGTTCTCTCCATAATTATAAACAACGAAAAATTCAAACATACACTTGTATACATTTGTTACTAACATTTTATGCCAATACCTTCACTATTTACACGTTTTTAATTATTGTATTGTTAATTATCGATTAATTTAATGGACTATTAAATATTTCCATTGTTTTCCAAAAGTTATTAAATACTTAATTCAATCATAAAAATGGGTAGTTTTTCAGCCAGTGCAGTTTTCCAGCCAGTTTTCCACTGCAGTGGAAAATAGTGAGGTATATAAAAACTTGATGATGAATGAATGTTTTTAAAGGATGTGTCACATCTCAAGGAGGTAGCTGAACTTGGAATACACCTAATGTTTATTTTAAGTCTGAACTTTGAATATGTTAACAAATATTTATGAACCACGATTTTCTCTTCATTCCTGACTAAAATATTCCAGATCTTAAAGCCTGTATTTTATGTTTTACGTCCATAGGTGGTGGTGTTTGAATTAATAGCCAGAGTTTGGGAGAGGAAGGTTTAAAATAGGTGCTTTAAAATATTTGATAGTAAAAAAAATAAAATGAATGTTGATAAAGTGATACTGTAAACATTCCGGAATAGCTAACAATGCACTCTGCATTTTTGCCTGTAACTCTGATGGTTTGGAGAGGCATTATTAAAATACCCGACACTGCTCTAATCCTAGACGTAATCCAAGGGCATTAGGACATTGAGAGCCCCTCTAGAACTCACTGCAGGCGGTGGCCTCGTGTACATTAGCAGGTTTTCAGCTGTGGATTTGCAACTGATAAGGATTGCTTCCATGGTTAGATTCAAGGAGGCGCCACATCAGTAATTTGCGGAAAATGTGGTTATATTTGGAAAACCAGCCCTACTGAAGACTCCCGCTGTTGTAAGACCACTTGCATTTCACTGTCAAAAAAATTCAAAATAGATGGCACATAAGGAGACATTGTATATGCTTCCCTAAATTTCATTTCGGGAACGAAGGAAAGGAAGAGAAGCCTAGATATTAAAGACTGCAGCTGCTTCTCAAAGCTCATGTTGCTTTTTCAAACTTCATAGCAATGGCAGCAAACATTGGGTTGAGAGCGAGCGACTGCGTGTGTTTAAGACTGTCCCGCCCACCGAGCAGGTAGACACACCAGTCTCCGTTACCCATTTTAGTAACGGCACGTGCACATACTACAATATATTGCTATCGAGATTATGGGACCAACCCTGCTCCCATCTGCAGTCAACAGCAACACTCCCAAAGGGAGCAGGATCGGGCCCTAGATGGAGGTATAATCTGAAGGTGGGTTTGTATTATGTGGTGCATATAAATACATATGCAGCTCTCTATTGTACAGAGAAACTGGATGCTATGGACGCCTGTTGCCCAATGACTATTCTGAACCACTATATCTGACCAAAGCCATTGCCTTAAGCACAAGATGTAGCTCGTGATTAAGCACGCACGGAATTCCCTGCCCATTGTGCCGCTGCGCTGCGTAAACCTCACTCAGCGGCATGTGTTCAGTGCCTCAGGGAGGGGGATAAAGGATAGCACCAGAGAACCCCCGGCCCCTTTTATTTGCTAGTCTAAGTGACGTCAGGAGCACCTTACAGATCCCTAACAGGCATGCGCCTAACAAAAAAGTAGCAACTGGAGCAGAGCCAAAACCACTAAACTTCAGTGGGCAGCAGAAGAGCACCCAACAACACTACAGAGCCCGAACAGGGCTGGACACAGGCTGCATACAACTACGCAAACCCTTGAAACCAAGGTAAGCAACCGAATACGATCACCCCTTTTCCTGACGCGGCTATTGTAAATACATGTTCTAACGAGCCAGACAGCAGGCAGCGGACAAATGGGGAAACAAAATGGGAACAGCGGCTGCTGCTGTAGGGAGAGTAGGTGGGCAATGAGTTTTCCCAGGTGACCATTTGCAAAGTGAAATACCGGATTTGTTAGCGCAGCTTCCAGGGAATAAAATCAATAGATACGGCCTAACGAAACCTGACAGATCAGTGAACTCTGAGGCTTTTTTTTTTTTTTAGTTTCATATGCCAAGAAAAGTGTTTGGCAACGTATTGTGCTGCCTCAAAAATAGATGTAGGTAGGAATTGTCTATGAATGTGAGGATTGTGCAGGATAACGTGTTTACATTGCTGCTGCATTAAAAATCAATTTAATATCGCTAAAAGATGGGCACTGACCTTTTACTTGCTGATATGTTTGTTATACTTAAAACTACTTCGTTTTTAAATCATTAATAACTCTACCTGTTAGAAGAACTATGGTGTGTCACAGCCATCCCTAAGAGTAATTCTGTAATGTATTTCAAGATGTCTTTAAATCCATTATTTAAACTCACAGGATGACACCTGGGAATAAACATTGTATACTGTCTTTTTGCCTCCAGCCCAGAAAAAAAAATCCATTTACAAACCGTTAGATCAATTAAGAATTCCAAAGTCAAACCTTGGAGAAAAATGAATGAAATTCTTTCTTTGAGTCTAATCGCACTTTTCCAGACAGAAATTTAGGTTCATTACAGTCCATTCTGTTGTGGGAGTGGGAGGCATAAAGTAATTATCAAATACCAATTCCCCAATCATATATGAAAAGTCAGCCATGTAAGACTTGGGGGTTGGACTAGATGACCTCCGGAGGTCCCTTCCAACCCTGATATTCTATGATTCTATGACTTTATTAAAAAAAAGAAAAAGGAAAAAAAAGACTGACCTGGGCCTGAGGAGACCTTCTTGAATGACCTCATCGTCTTCTGAGGAACCTAAAATCAGAGAGTTGAAGTCAGTACTAGCCGGCAAATTGTACCAGAGCACCGTATTTAATTACCTCTTCTCCAGTTTAACGGCTCATTAAAAGGCCATAAAATGCCAGGGCTTTGACTCTGTGAAGTGACCTGTAAACTCTTTAACTGTTCGTGACTTACCTAGCTCATCAGAACCACAATTAGATAACCAAAAGGTAACAATCAGCCTGTTACCAAAAAAAAAAAAAAAAAAAGAGGGGGAGGCCTTCTCCATTCTTTAAAGTCATTGCCCCATTAATAGTCTTCTTATAAAAGTTAATGAGGAAGTAGACAAAATACACGGATTTGCTGGATACTGCAAGGTGTTGTTTTCACTTATCAATATTTCATCGCAATAGGTAACTCAAGTACTAGTGGTTGTTGGCTTTGCTATGCTTAAACCGTACACTTTAAATCATAAAAAAAATCAGTTTGTGTCTTTACATATACTTCAAAGGAAGTATCTTGTAATAAATGTTTGGTCAAATTGTACTAAACATTATAGGTCCTAGTATCAACCTAAGAGTATCAGTAGGAAAATGCCTTCCCTTTAATATTAGTAAAATCCCAGACAATAATTTGCATTTTAAACCAATACTTACAAAGTCTCAATAAATTAACAAAAAATATTTGATCAGACCAACACACAATATGGCTTTGCTGGTGCTAGGTGTATTTATGGTCCACTGCCGATTGAGCAGGATCTATCTGATTTTATATCATAATAATGCCAGCAAAGATGTCATGTATAGTAGATAGTAAGAGGCACCCAAGGAAAGCCACTGTGCTTAGAGTAATCTTGTTGCTCAGGCTGTGCAGATTGTTTAGAGCAAGGAAGATGAATAGATTTGAACATGCATAAACTCACCTGCTACCAGCCTATGTCCTTTTGTCTCCCTCTACCTGATTTTTATACACTCTACTTTAAGTAAGACCCATCCAAAGCAAATAAACCACTTCATGTTGTTGTTGTTTTGGGATGTGATCTTAAATCTCTTCTGCCTTTAAAGAAAATGGAGATTTTTTGCAATTGGAGAGCATGTCCTGACTGTTGATTCTGGCCTTTTCCTACAAATGTGGAAACTCCACCTTCCTTCTCTGACTGTGGGAACAGCCAAAGACAAGTGAGAATCAAATTTCTGTATATTAACTTCTTATCCTCTAGTTAACCCCACTTCTATACAACATCAGCAACTAGAAAAGGTGATAGCCAGCTTGTTTTTCCTTGCAGTGCAATAACACTAACAACTGGTCTCCGTTTTTTCTTTTTGTGATGATCTATAGCAAGTTTTGTTTTCCAGTAGAGCGGTATATAAATTCAATATTAAACCTAATCTTCCTTTTACACCTTCAACTATTACAGCCCAATCCCTGTTTTTACTTGTCTCTTCTGCCAACCTGCAGCTGTGTGGCTTTTGTCTCGGATTTAGCTACATTATTTATGCAGCATAATGAAATATGCAAACAGAGTAAGAGATCCTTTCCTGGCTTTGACAAGTGATGTGGTTTAGTTTATGGGAGGATTCAAAATAAAGTACTTTGGAAAAGAAATATATTAAGAATTGCAGTAACTACAGAGATTGGTACATCCTGAAAATTAGATAGGGTTTAAAAAAAAAAGCCCTTGTTTTTGTCACTTCATTCAATGTATTTGTAAACATCACGTATATAAATATGTGGATATCATAAGCGTCATAATAGATTATTATACAGAAAGTAAATGGGATGTAACTGTTCTAAAAGACTTGGTGTTAATTGTTTCTTAATAGGATATAGAAGTCCTGACATATAATTGTAAAAAATGCTAGCTTATAAAATGAACTTCAAAAGTCTGAACAACTTAATTCTATTAAATTAATTCTTAAAACTGTATAGTTTAAACAAAAAACTAGTTGTCATATATTCTACTGCATCATACTGAAGCCAATAGGAATTTAGTCACTGATTTAAATGGGAGCAGGTTTGGGCCCTAAAGCAGCTAATGGTAACAGTGATAGGTTAGTATTTTCCTACACTTCAATATAAACATTTCAAGCAAATTGGGATCAGCTAGTGCTGAAATTGAGATTCATATTTAAATAGGCTTCATCATTGCTAATATCATTTAATAAATGCTAATCAAGGATTATATAATAATCAAGCCTAGTAAGAGGGTTTTGGAGAGAAATTATTATTTGCTTTAAAAGCCTGATTAAATGTCTATAGGCATTTAATCATAACATGTCTGAGTGGAAACTAGTTCTAGGAATAAGCGATATTTGAAGATACCATGCAATCATCACAGAACAGGAAATCAAACCTACTCAAGGAGAGTGAAAGTTAAAGTTATAAATTATACCTTTGTTACAGATAACACATACAATAATTTGAGGGTTTTTTTCTGCCACTTACTGTTTGTTTATCTTTGGCAATTCATTCGTATTGGACAGTGAAAGGCAACAGTATGCCTCTAGTCATTCATTTTTCCCCAAAATTCTCAATGACCAGCAAAATTATACAGTGTTTTGGATTTCACATAATGCAGAGGCTTAATTTAAACAATTTTACTGCCATATAAAAATTGCATATATAGGGTAGAAAATCAGGTATTTATAGTTTGCCTGTTTACATAGAAAGTTGTTTGCTCTATTTCAGAGATTAGCTAGAACAAAAATTTAAGACAATGAGCCTGCTCCTGCCTCCATTGAAATCAATCATAATTTGGACATTGATTTTATTGTGAGGAAGAGTAGACTCAATATTTTATTAATATTGTTTAAAACAGTTATAAAATACATCAGAACACAAAAGTAAAATATACAATAATAAAAAGTTACTACTAACGAGTGAGCAAATATCATATGGGGCAGAAAAAGATACAACATTCCTTTATTTTCTATTTACAACTCTTATCTAGGATGGATTTTTTTAAAGGATTTCAGGTGTACCTGTCATAGAAACTGAATTAGATAAATTGTGAACACCTAAAAATAAACAGCTTGTAGTATTTAAGAGAAAATGCCAGGTACTCTTTCAAAAAAATAAAAAAGACCTTATGGTAACAAACAATTTTGTTTAAAAACTGTGAACTTTTTTAAAAAAAGTAATATATATAGTGTATGCTTTACCTTTTGCACTTCATTCAGCCGCTGGACAGTAACACAGACTAATCAGTTTATTTTTGTTTATAGTCACTTCAACTTCTGATTGAATGCACTAGCAACATGCTGCGCTATCTTAGTTGCAAATGCCGCAGAGGAATGTTAAATCAAACAAATTACTTGACACTTAACAATACTAACATGTTTATGAATTTTTAGAAATATCAAGTTTTAAACCAAAATCCTAAGTGATGGGTCGAAAGCTCATTAAAATGTTTTTTTTAAAGGTTTCTGGTATTGTATCCCTTACTTTCTTTTAATATTTCATTCAGTAAGATACAGAAATCAATTTAAAATATACCAAAGAAATTGAATTGCATTCTGTAAAATCCAAAACATCTGAAAAAGTTTGGAAATAAAAGATATAGAATAACACTGGAACTGATCCACATCCTCAAACCAATGGCTTACCTATATTGTATAATTTGCTAAGGATACAACACAATTCCTGTGAATTATTCTCTTCTGAAATTATATAACTAGATTTCATTTTCTTGTTTAATTACACACATTGTGTAATTTTGTTCACAATTTTCTTCCCATCACAATACTGTGAGCATTGCACTAAACATTTTTAGGAAGTGAAGTGATAAAGCAGGTGTGGGAAAAGTAACTCCTTTTAATTATCTTCTAAATTCAAGAATTCACCTTGAAACACTTTTTAATAAAATCCTTCAAACTGACTTGGTTTTGTTTTGTGTTTTAATGATCAGCAAACAGAGGTTTAATCTTTCTTTACTGATTTGAACCTTTGGATCTTTTGTTATGTGTTAAATTGATTACCCTTTGTGGTTAACAATATAAATAGCTTGGTGATATTCTCTAGATATGTTTTGCTGACATATGAAAGGAGTAAAGATGGACTATGTGGTACACAATAATGTAGGCATTTCTGATAACCAGCGGGCCCAGTTCTGCTCCCATTCAATCAGTTACTAGACTCCCATTTGAGTTCAGTTGGAACAGGAGCACATAAGAACAAAATCTGCTCCCATTGACGTCAAGATTCTGAACTGTTCTAGTTAAAGCAATGTAAATTGGGAATAACTAGCTCCATTGACCTCAATGGTGTGGAGTCTGTCACTGACTCCAATAGGACCCACTGACTCCAATAGGACCCGCGTTTGACTCTTAAAAGTGAAATACCACCATTCAATTTAATTTTTAGTTTCTTTTAAATGATGTGCTTTGACCCCCAGATCAACGAGGCAAAAACTTTACTATTAAATAAAAATGTAACTTTAGTGCATATGATTAAAGTGACAATAATGGTATAATAAAGAAATACAATTGGATAAAATCATTTCTCATTCCCTTTTAGTGAGATTGTTCTTAATCCATATTATCTATTTTATATGTTCTGTATTTAGAAGAATATGAAAAAATATCTTAAGTAGAAAATATTTTGTATATTTAAAAAAATTCCGTAACACAGAATAGTGACCATATTTTCATACGATTGTAACCAATTTTATTTTTCAAGGGTACAAAAATATGTCTAAACATAAAATATTTTGAAAAGCAATTATTTAGTCTCTTATTTACTTGTCGTATGTTCAGCATTTTATTCAAATTTACAGCTAGCATGTAAAATAGTACCGGTAATTTAAAGCTAATTTGTCCAAATTTGGAGCAATTTGCATTGTCTTAAGCAAATGAACTTATAAATACACCTTCTTTTAATGGGACTGAACTAGCTTTCAAAGTGATTATCTCCAGAAGTAGCTAATATTGTTCTTTTGTTCACAATAAGTTGAGTAATCGTGACTGAGACAAATAAGAAAATCCAAATTTATTAGATATTTTGCATAGTTTATTACTAGGATTTGAAGGATTAGA